AGCAGGAACGTAACCATTTTCTTTTGCATCAGGTTAGGTTCTAGCTTTGAAAGCTTGGATTAGTTCAACTTAGATCTAGTAAAATAACATGGATGTTTCACATGCCAGCTGAGCAAGGCAAGCTTGCCTCTACCCAACAGAGCAGTCCCACCCTTCTCATCTCCATCACCCAAACCCAGAACTGGGAGAAGGAACCACCTTGTCCATGACAACGAGCTTGAGAAACCTCACTGTGACCCTGTATTTACATCAGTGTGAACCTTTGGATACCTGTACTTTATAATTTTTATGTAACAAGGCAACTGACATGCTCAAGAGTTAGTTACTCCTCTGCTTGTTCTGGTACTGAGCCACCATATGGCACATCACCTCAATTCTCTTTTCACCTGCCAAAACGTTACTTACCTTGCACTTCCAAGTAGATGCATAGGAAACATCTGGTTGTGAGGCTGAGTACTGGGTCACCAAGCCAGTATCGGGGTCCAGGTTCATTTTTGTTCTCATTGCTCTGATTTTGAAAAAACATGAAGTATTTGTGTCAATACATATCTATAAATATTCACATAAAAACATTCATGGATACGTATGCCTTCCTTCATATTAGGGATATGCAGAGTAGAGTGTGTGTAAACTTCTGTATAATTAGCAGTTCTACTGAAAGTGGAGGGATTTTAAGTAGTCCTTTATGTGTAGGTATTTTGATTATCCTAATTGCTGAAAAGCTTAAGCATTTCACATACCTTTTTTGCACTGTGCAGCAGCAGCAGCAGCAGCAGAAAACAGACTGGATGGTGTGATCTGTGAACAAGAACATTTCCCATATTTGCAGTGTTCCTGTTTGTTTGCTTATGAAACATACAGAATTAAGGACTACCATATGTACTTAGCCCCATTGTTAGCTCTGTCTTGCTGTAGCAAATTATCAAGGATGAATTTGCATCCACCAAAGGCAGCAGATCTTTCCTGCTGCCCCATCTATTTGCTCCTGCTGTCTCCCTTACAATGTCTTAGCAATTATGAGGCCATGTGATGGATTAAATCAGCTCACTTAATCAGAACAAAAAAAAAGACCTTGTCAGCCAGATCAGCATCGATCTGACTGATCACACCACCCCATGCAAGCTCTAACCAGTGCAATGAAGGGGTTGAGAACGTCATCAGGCACAAGAGGTGGAGAACTGTCCCCTTCAGCAGTGACAATTCATGTCACTGCAAGCCAAATACAAAACCACACTTGCATGACAAGCTTTTTCTTACTGCTAGATTTATTAAAGGAGATATGCTTCATTCAATTCTTAGAATTAATACTGATTTTCCTGTTTCTGTTGCAGCCAGTAATATAATATATGCATTAGCCCAGGTTTAAATGTTAACAAAAGATGTGCTTTTACACTTATGTGCCAAGTGGTTGATAATCCTGAGAAAAAAACATTGGACACATCATCACATATACATTTACAGAGAAGTCCATCTAGTATACCTTGTATAAGCGGCAGAGAGGATATGGTATTAAATAGGTTGGAAGTCATTAAGAAGATTTGAACAAGGTAAATAAGTGGTTGACATTCGCTCTGGTCCACTTCTACTCAGGCTGAGACCTACTTTCCCCAACTTGTGTTCCCATGGCAGTTTAAGCCGAGCAGCTATGGTCCCATCCCCTTTCCCTCTGCACTGCTGCTCATCTCATCCCCAACTGAGCTAGACGGGATGCTAAACCGGTGGGGAATCGCTCCCTGCTGGGTCAGCTCCTTGAACCATCATGCATAACCCGTGGGCAGGTGGGAGGGCAGCAGCGCCAGGAGGACAGGCTCAGGCTCTCGGGCGCAATGCGTGCTCTCTTAGGAAGCACACAGAGACAAGGCTACCATCACTCCCAGCCGCACTGACAGAAAATAGACTTTATATTTCACTCCGATGAGTCCTGAAGTTTTCTCTGCCACAGAGGTCATAGTACGAAAAGAGGCCTCAACATTATTCAAAATAGGATATCTGAGGTCTCGGTATTTTGTTGTTTCATCCTTCACAAGGTATGTCTTTCTCCTGCCAGTCCCACCAGTGCCTTCCACTTTGTTTTTCTCTCATGGCATTTTTGGCTTGTTGATCCTAATGACCTATTTAATCCAGCCTGGAATAAATAGGATGTCCCTTCTGCTGTCCTGCGAGACTTCCTGACAATGTCTATTACCAACATTTCAGCCAAGTGTGCTGAGAGTATGCATCCTAACACTGAAAACATTAAGCAACCTTACTACACAATGAAAATGTAATTATTTTCTCTATAGAGGTATATAATTTAGCAAATCTTGCACTAATAAAAGAAGGGAGAATGCCAGATGTCAGAAAGATAAGACCAAAATGAGTTCTTAGCTGGAAGAGGAAGAGACCCGTCTCCTATGTGTTTTGGTTAGACTATTTATCTTGAAAGTCGTGGGGCAATTTCCCTTAGACTGTTGCATCCTGTGAAAGAACCTATCGTGTGGGAAGCTGGCGAGCCTACGTTAATCAGAAGACACTATCAAGTGTTTGAGTAAAGTTTCCACTGACAGCTATGCAAAATGCAGCAATTACAGATACCCAAGCCAGCTGACACCAACAATTTTCTCTAAAGAGATCGGGCTAAAAAGATATTGGCAATGCAATTTATTTGCTACATAATTTTCCAGCGTACACTGAACTGTCCCTCAGCTGTTTAAAACGGTGTTTCATGAGCAGTGAACACCGCGGGTGAAAAAATTCTGAGGTTTCTTTTACTTCAGCCAGTGCCATGAAGTTTAATCGATGTTCATAAAGTATTTAGTGATGTGCAAAAAGTAGTATGATATTTGAAAGCTTGCCTACTTCTTCCGATTAAACCATATAGTTTAATTAAATATATTATTCCTCATTAGATAATTTGCTCTCCTTATAGAACACTTACCAGAAATATTTAGAAGCAGCAATGCAGAGTTTCAATGTAACACTAGAACAATCATCTAACAAGATTTTAAAGATTTGGCTGTTACCACAAAAGCAAGGGGTTCAGACCACTGTTGTGGACATGTAATTCTGTCTTGCTTTTCTTTGAGTCCAGCAATTTGAATTTATAGTGTAAGCTCAGGAATCCTTTTTACCTTCAGCGAATTTCAGACTTGCTCCCTTAATGGATGCTTTTTGTTTTTAGCTCCACTCTTTACTCTGCGAAAAGCAATTGGCAATAAATGAACATACATGATGTTTTTAAAAATATCCCAAGCATATACAATATTTAATATTCGGTCTCGTGTCCTGTCCATAAAACTACAGAAAAAGTATAGGTTAAAACTGTAATTATGATGCTTCTTGGGACATGAGCTTCATCTGGTCAGTGATTTTTCCAAAGGTAGAATGAACGAGTAGACCCAGTAAAGATCACAAAATATGACCAAGTTCTAGAGGCTGAAAGTTAAGACTCAGGTTAGACTAAGGCCATGGGCCAGATAAGCCCATGCTGAACTGAATTGCTGGGTCCTGAGGAGCAGCACAAACTTTGCACAGTTCTGCAAAGTTTGCATCTCCTCATTCTGCTTGTTAAGTGTCAAATCACGGCCTATCAATCCAGCAGATATTTATCAACCTAAAGAAGAGCATTTCCAGCTCTTTGAAGACGAACCTGTCTTTACACATCTGTTCTTGGCAACCTCGCCGCTTCTAATCATCTTTTGTCCATGCATTAGTCCTAGAGCACTTGTGGAATTAATTCAGTAGAAATCAATACATGCGCAAATTATTGCAATGCAAACTGTTAATTTCTGTTCAGAAATTTGTCAAGTCTGCCAGGAAACATTATCAAGGAACATAGCAAAGGCCTTCAGTTCTGTGGAGCTAAGTCCTGCTTTAGTTAAATTGAATTAAGTCAGTAAGTTTTGACCTGAGGGATTGGAATTTCAGCATCTCAAGCAAAGCCCTATGTATTGATCTATGCATTTTACATTCTCCCTAGTCACTGGTAAGTTTCTCGCACAACGCTTTTTCTCCCCTTGATTAAAATAATATTTTTGAGTTCCTAACTCACTACAGAAAGGCCCACAGCCGCTCTGCTGTGCTGTTTTAGAGACTTGGCCAACACTGCAAATGGTGAAGGCTTTGGTACACTGAACAAATAATTTGATAAAACTGTCTCGCATCTTGACCTTCTGCTAGCGGCCAAAGAAGGTGTTTACACTGAGGGCTGCCTGCAGTGCTACAGGAAGCCCGCGTTTCCTGCCTGAGGCTTCTCAGAGCTACACACACCCTCCTGTGACTCGGGCTCTTCCTTCCTCTCTCTTTTCTTCTATTCAACAGCCATCAGACAGACTAAGAAATAACGATAATTTTTAAAACTCTGCATTCTAACGCAAAAAAAAAAAAGCTATCTTTTAAAAAGCAAATAAGAAATTGAAAAGAGATTCTTAGAATTTACTTGTCATTTTAAATGTCTTCTTGATTTTCCTTTCTGCTACACCCTAACTCATATCACTGAAATCAATGGAACTATTCTACCCGATTTCCTTCGATTTTGGACGAAGGACCTTTTCTTAAGCAAAACTCTCTAGATATGTCAAGGGGTGTTAGAGTCACAAATGTATTAGGAGGCTTTGACCCCCTGGTCCCTAACTCAAGTAATCGCATTGAATATTTTATAAATTAAAAATTAGCCAGTGGTGCTATCAGTGAGAGTTGTGCTTCACCAAGGAAATCATATTTTGAAGAGAACAGAGACACCAATAAGATTTACCATGTTATGACTGACAGGCTGCTTGGACAGAACACAGGGAAGAGACACAGGCTAACCGCAAGAACTATTCAATATTTTTTTAACATTAAATTATTTTTGAAGTCTGATAAAATGAAGTACTTAGGGACCTATAATTATTTTCATGTCCCATTTTGCTGTTTCCTACCTATCCAAAAATTTTCCCATAAATTCCAGAAAGAGTGGTCAAATCTTGCTGCTTTTAAATCTACAAGAAGGAAGGTTTCTCCAGCATCCACAGCTTCACTAGACCTTTCAAGCCACATTTCCCTGAGCTCTATCAAAACATAACCTATCGAGACATTTGGCTTTGATCCTCAGGGTAAGTCATCATCGAGCAATTAAAGTCAGTAGCTTAAAACCTAGTTTTAAATTAAACAAGATGAGTATTTGAGCTGTTGACTCTAGACTTTGCCAAATCTTCCTTCTTCAATTGTGTGAAGAATTTAATTTCTCCAATTTCTGATGAAAGCTTGCAACCTCAAAGTTCAGCCAATTCTACAAATAATCACAGAAATCACAGAATCACAGAATCAC